CAATAGAAGACGCGCGAACGGCTAATCAGCGGTAGTGTAATGCATTTGTCTGGATAAGGGACACTCTTGTGGAATAAGAGTTTATTTATATACAAGAATAATACCGGAGAACATAGAATACACAAGTCGGGGATGGTCTGGGCTAAGGGGAATGCGCTAGGTCTGGATAGGATTGGAGAAATACACTCTGGTCTGGGAGCTCGCCGGGGTCACCGGTATCGGGGATGCAGGAAACATCACACCAACACCGAATCGCCCTACCAGTCATAGCAATGACCGGCAGCAATTCTCCCAGGAAGGGAGAAAATGCAGCGACTGGGGAAAATGCCCCCTTTCCCCGGGCCGAGGGCGGCCGCCATACGGTGGCCCGCAGGGGGGCGCGCGCCGGGACCCAGGGAGAATTTGGCCGCCCGCGAAGTCCGCCTAATTAAACCCTCGTAAGTCCTGTAGAATCGTAAGATTTCTACAGAACTTTCGACAATTCCCCTCCCCCGATAAAGCTATAACTCCCCCCGATAATGTAAAAGCGCCTAGATTTCTTAAGTACAATCGAGTCGTAAGTCGAATATGGCAAAGTACTAATTATCAGTGTTTAACACGCCAAACAGCTTTTTTACATGCGTTAACAGACCCATATAAAGTATGCCTTGACACCTTAAATTACTCCTTACGGTGTGTTATCCTACTCCTACTATATATAAAAAAATAGTGTCTGTGTGTGTGCCACTTTGCATCCACTTCCGTATCGTTGTTCCAGTCGTATCTCTATAGCGGAAGAAGTTAGGGGTGGGTACGATACGTCATTATGTGCGTAATGGTCTAGGGATGACTGCCCAAATATCAGATTTATAAAAATCAGCCATTTTCGATATTAAATTTAAGTTTTTGTAAAATCCTCTTCGCTAGGAAAAATTAGCATTGACCGGAAGTAGGAAGCCGCCTATATAAAGGGTCAGAAGCGAATCGTTTTCATTTTTTGGTCATCTGAATTCAGCGCAATTATGCAAAGCGTAGAACAGCATGCGGTCCAAGACGGGGCCAGGGTTGAAAAGTCGCGAAGCGGCTTTTCAACCCTGGTTAACTAGTTAAACTTATTGTTTTGAATGCTCCGAAGTAAAGTTAGCTAGACAAGAGATGCCGTGCTAGAGGCCTCTCGTTTTAAAGATGGCCAGAACCCTGGAAAACACACTGAAGCCGTGGGCTACGGGACAATCCAAAACCCACATTCCTGGACTCCCAAAAACTTTCCAGCCACCTCCTGCTAAAAGTCTCGTGAATCGAGCACTTCTGCACCTGCTCCCCCCACCCTCAACACTAGAGGGAATTGGGCCATTTTGCCGGAGACTTCCTGGTCCACAGGCCCTTCTGTGTCTATCCCTGAATAAAAGGGGGGAGGCCCAACTCTGCGGCGTTGGCCTTAATGAGCTGAGTGCCCTGGAGGGAGAGAGAGAGAGACCAATGGCGCTTCACTCTATCTAAAACTCTGGTGCGCGTCGCAGAAAAAAAATTGGAGTCTTTGATGATAAGCTCGCCGGGGCAGAAAATTTAGGTTCTATACTGTTAGCGGGGGGGGGGGGGCTGGAGTCGCCGCTGGACTATCTTACTTGTCCATATCTAGTAAAATCGCTCGCGTTTTATCAAGCATTTTTCTAGTGTTTCCAGCCGTTTTAGTTCACTTAAAACCCCCATAAAAAATTTCACATTTTCGGCAAAAATCCGATTTCGAAAATTTTAAGATTTTTTATGAACTTTCAATACCTAAAAACCGTCGTAAAAAGCTATGCAAACGTGTAGGGTATGCAGTTTTAAGGAATGGCTGGATTCATCCCCCCCCCCCGTTAAAAGCCCAGCACCAACTTTCACCAGCAAAAAAGCTACTTTTGAAAATGTTGAACTCACATAATCTTAAAATTTCAGAATGTCGAAATTTACATAGGAAAATGCAGAAAAATCGACGTTAAAATTTCGACAATCTGTCTTTGCGACATTCTGAATTTCGATATTATGGATTTCGACGTTGAATTTCGAATTTATCGAAATAGGCAAATCAAAGGCTTAGATCCCTCTATTAGTTTATCACCTTGCTAACCGACCCCAGCCTCCAAAAACGGCTAATAATATTTTGGCGGGCGCCCGACCCCGGCGGATTCCATAGCCCGTCCCGGCGGCTCAATTAAAACCTCGGGGCGTACGAGTTCCCAAAAAAAGGAGGAAATTCAAGCAAATAATCAGCGGCTCGATTGCGGGTAGGTGGGCCGCCGCAAATATGATTTTTGAGCGCCCATTTCTGGACGCTGCGGGGGCAAAGCGTACTGCCGGGTGCCGGTGATACCTAAAAGGACAATTGAATGGGCACTAGGCTCTTAGCAGGGGGAAACTAATATAACAAAATAGAGTCTCATAAAACGTCTAAAAACTATTGACTTTTTGGTCAACGTTTTGTGTCATTTTCTAACAATCAAAAACTACTAAAAAGATTATAAAAATACACTATTTACCACTAACAGGTAATAAGCGAGAAAACAAAAGTCAGTCGGCCGCGCAAACAGTCCAGCACCGTCGTATGCTCAAAACTGAACGAATTACGGAAATTGCACCGGGCGCACCGTGTAGCCCCTCGTACAGGATTTTTAAAATCGCAGGCCGTGACTTGAAACTAAAAGGATTTGCTGAAAAAAAATTCAAAATACACGAGTGGATGCCCCGGCGCTAACTAATAATTGGCAAATTACGTAGGCTCGCGTTGAACCGGGAAGCCCAACGGAGCGCCTCGAAGACGCTGCAAAAAGGGTCCTCGCCGCCCGATCTCCATTCTTTTCACTTTGAAATTGCAGCCAGGTCGACGATCAGAGATCCTTGGGGAAGGGGACATTGTTCACGCGAAGACAAAGAGTTGCCACTTTGGCGTCTACGGGGAAGAACGTTACCTAACGAGATAAATCCCGAGGGGAAGTGCTGTATGGCCAGCTAGGGGTACTTGCCGGAAGCGATGGGTCTTAGTCGATGGAATTAGAGCATGTTCTGGATCCATAAAAAAAATAAGGCTGGAATCTACCGCAACTCTTTTAAATTGCGTAGGAGAGGCTTTTAGCAGCGGGGCGAGCTTCCTTTATTCAGCCTAGGCTTAAGCCTTAAGCCTAATCCTTCAAAGTTTTTTAAATTTTTCTAGTAGTTTCCGAGTACTACATAAAAAGCTATCGACATTTTAGCTTTTGACATTTTAGCTCATTTTCATATATTTTCCACAGAAAAGTCGCAAATTTTCGAAAAGTTCTATAATTTCTGCGGGCTTTTTGTAGCTAAACACTGTCTAAATGCTATAAAAAACGTTCTAAAGTTCGCTTTAGGACGGTACGGAATTATTGAGGTAAATTGGCGCTCCCGCCATGCATAAAAATATTTAAACATCTTTGCTGCACCATTTATATGTAAAAAATCCGTAAAATTCTTTGAAAAACTCAATTTTTCCTTATTCTACAGGATAATAGGAAAAAATTCCCTTCGCCCCCGGCTCGAAAGTTTCGTAGGAACACCCCCGCTAACGAACCAGAACCAAAAAAATTGATTGACGCAACCCCGAAGCAACATCATCGAGGCGAGCGCCGCCACGAATTGCGGAAATAAGTGCGGCGTTGTGGCGATGGGGTGGAGGGCAATGAGGGCACGTTGTTGTATACATATTAACGAATGTTCCGATGAGAGGCATCCCCCCTTTTGCCCCCATAAAAATCTGCAAATCCGAAGGGGGAGGGACTGGACATCAGCGTCAAGCCCATCACCGCAACAAGGTAACCAAGAAGATCTTGCAGAATTGGGCACCAAATGGAACGGGCGACAAGCCATAAATAAAGGGATTGGCTCCCGCCCCTTTAAAAAATTCACTTTAGCCCCGTCCCCGGCCAACTATAAATATGGGCATCTTTGGGAATTTATGACCCGGCCCGGGATGGGCGACATATGTGTGATGTTGGGACATCTACAATATTAATAGGCACACGATGACTTCATCTGCCACTCGAAAAACAATATAAACGTTTCACAGATATGTTGGCCCTTGTTACAAAACAACAAATTCCAAAACATTGGTTTTTTTCGCATTATCGGGGCAGGGGAGGGGGCAAACTTTGTTTCTGCAAAACCCAAAAATACCTAGTGACGTATGATTAAGCGTTTTTAGCAAAATGGAACTATATTCTAAGTGAAAAACATTAAAAAAATCTTAGAAAAATTTTTCTTTGAAGTTTGATCGAAAATTGGCCATTTTTGGCGCTTTTTAATAAAAATACGTGCATTTTTTGCGGTTATGAATATCAAAAACAGTTTAGAAACATGTTCGCTACCTATATTTGAAAAATTGTACTAAAAACATCGGTTTTCCCCCGATAATGCGAAAAACCGCCTTTTCAAAAACAACAAAATCCAAAACGCGCCAACTCGAATGGTTAAAGTCCTGCCCAAAATCGGATTGGCACCCCAGGAATTCAGGCAAAAAACTTATGGGCACAATGGACGGAATGGAGGGCCACCTTCCGGTGAATTTGTCGCGAGTCCCGAAGAGTAGACAGAAGCTTCGTCACCCCGGTGCGGCCAATTTGGCACCTTGCTTCGTTGTCGAGGTGCGGAAGAAAGGAGACAGTGGCCGTCGCCAAGCCGGCAGCCGCACAAAGAAGCGCTCCATCTTTTCTCCCTCCAAGTGCCAATTTGGGCCAACGACACATCTACTAGGAGGCCCTGAAATTAGTCCCTTAACTCGTTAGCATAGATTGAAGCCGTTGGCGAGGCCGCATCAAGGTCCAGTGCGGTTGCCTCCTGGATAGCTGAAAACTTTATTGCTCACATATTCCACAAATCCAGAAATTACGTCCAGGTATATAAAATGACGCGCACTATGAGAAAAGGATTAAAATTAGCACGCGGAATAATCGATAGGACACAAGGCAGCTCGAAAAAACTTTGTGAAAATTAATGGATGAGGGTAAACTGATCGAGCGTTTGGTTTATAGTGCTTCGAGATCGACGTGCCGGATGTCGGGGTGTTTCTTTGTGATTTCACCCTCGATGCGGTCAATCTCAACGCCGAGGCGATCGATGATCTTCTCCCCGTGCTGCTCCATCCACTCTTGCAACTCGTGCTCGGATTCCATTGACTTCACTTCCTAAAAAAGGGTGTGTTGTAGAGGCGGGGGAAAAAAATACAATATAGCATATTACAGGAAAGTCACACGGCGCTTTCGCGCCCATTTCTTTGGAAATTTCGCCGCTAGTTAAAGCAGTTTTTAGTTTTTTGGAAGAATAAACTTTTTCCAAGTTTATAGTAAGGTGTTTCGCTCGAATTAGGCCTTTTGAGGCCTTTTGAGATAAACAAGTGACCATAAAAAAAGTTTTTCCTGACGAAAATCAGCTCAGAAATAGCATATTCCGTTTGATTGCGGTCAGTTTTAAAGCAATAATAATACACCTTGTACATCGCGCCAATATCTGCCTCCGCCTCGATGTAGCGACGCGTAATCATCCGGCCATTGAAATCCAGCTCCGCCTTAAACCGAGATTGCTCGACGCCCAGCGCCGTTGCCTTGACGTCGTGAACAGATCTAAGGGAATGCAAGCTACAAATTAAAACGACTAAATACCGTATTGCCGGGTCATTATTCAGTCGGGCGACGATGTCATCAGTGATTCTCTGCGGTAGAGATCTGCCCACGAGGTGTTGCGCATTCGACCGGATAATGAAGGACGCCACAGTACCTGGCAACGAACGTATTTCCGTCGTATAGCAAAAAGCTCACCAAGGAGACAGCCGATAAGCACAGATCCACAAGCATCCGGAATCGGCGAGTCTAGATAGGAGGAGAGCGTCACCGAGCCGAGCGCAATTAGCACCTAAAACAGCTTGACCTGTATAAAAAGTCATACCCCAGATACGGCGGCCGTATCTTCTAGTAGCACCACATTCAAGGACGGGTCAGCCGCGGTTCGAACTGAAAAAACATTTCTACCCAAACTACACAAAAATTCATACCGTAATCCCAAATATTGGGCACGCCGGCTTTTGTCGCCTTATGCCGTACTTCCCTGTAGGCCGTAAGCGCCGAGGCCCCTTGAAAACAGAGGGACATGAAGAGCGCGTAGTAAGCCTAAAACAAAGGTAACAAATAGCGCTTCAGCCCAACAAACTCACGTAAGTCAGGGGCTCCAGCGCAGCCGGATTCAGAATGCCCGAGATCCCATGGTAAATCGACAGCCCGCAGCCGAAACCAAGGATCCCACAGCCAGAGATTAGCGAGGTGACGTAACGCATGTTACCTAGATACCCGGAGTTAGCAGGAAGAACTTCTCTGCGTCATCTCTTCGCATTATAACTGAACGAATTGAGCGCAGCGAATTTCGACCTGAGCCAATTTTCATATCAACGAAAAATAAAACAAGGAAAATCGGCGCCATTTTTCGAAGATTCAAATATCGGGGAACAACTTTTTTTTCCTAGAAGTCAAGAAATATTAGTGTTTTTGCTAAAATTTAAATATATTTATAGCAGGGGAAAAAATTAAAAAACTAGGAAACAATTTAAGCTGCAATATTTCTCGAAAAATCCATACCGATCGTAGCATTTTCTAGCCAAAAATTTGTAAAGTTTTGACGTTTAGACCTACTAAAACCAGTTTAGAAACGTTTCCTCTATTTTTATTAGAACAACGGAAACCTTAGAAAATAGTCGTTCCCCCTCCGGATATTAAAAAAAAAAAAAAGAATGAGCAATCAGCTAGGTGAAAATTCGGAGTGATCTAACATGGCAAAATCACAACAAATCCAATACGCACCATAACCGTACGGGAATTGAGGATTCGGGTGTTTTCTCGAGTAGCGTATTCCGAGCAGCAGGATCAACTGGTTGCACGTGTCCATCGTGCTGTGGATTGCCTCAGCGAACAGCGACTTTGAGCCGGTCATGTAGGCAGCGGCGTACTAAGAAAAATTACCGATTACTAAAATGACAGGTACCTTGCAGATCATGTCGCAGGTATTAAGCGTGAACGCAATCGCAACAACTCGATCAGCGCCTTTCGTTTCGCCTTGCGTTGCCTCGACGCGCATGCGCGTGCGCATCATTTCTGCTTCCGTTGGTCGTTTGCTCATCGGGACCAGATTCCGCCGCTGCGCCTGCATTGCCTCTTTTGAGCCGTGAATCTAAATTAGCACCTTTATAAAGACGAATAAAACCGTTCAATAACCTTCAATGCTAGCTGGTACACATCATTGAGCGAGTAGAGCAGATTATGTGGGCTGTTCGCCGGCGGTGGAACTTCTTTTAGCGCTTCAAGTTGGTGCTCTCTAAAAATCAGATTACAAATCGAAAAAGCAACTAGCACTTTAGATTGTACTCCGCCATTGCGCTGTCCCTGTCTATCAAATCATTTTCATAGGTCATCACGCGCTTAGTGCTGTGGGCAAGCTGAAACGAACCGTTTTTAAACCATAAACTGAACACCTTAAACAAGGGCTTTGGCAGCTTCGGGCCGATAATTCCGTGGTTTCCATTCTTGCCATTGTTCTTGTATCCACTCAAATGCACTGGCCGGAGTTGGAGGATTACCCGCAACGACTGATCAAAATCTAAAAGGATTTACGTAATTAGGGGCCATTTTGAACCTTGCCAAGAGCGTGCGCGTCCAAAAAATCGTAGCATATTGAGGTTTCTACGACGGATCGTGTAATCGTCGGCTACTTCACATAACCTAAAACGAATTTATTGGTATTTTTTAAATGAGAACTTTAAAAAACAAGAAATTCCGGAGCGCTTGGCTCAAAGTCCGATTTCCGTTCCGTTTACACCTATGGACAGAAATTGTAGGTTGTTGTTTGTCGTACTCAAAGATCCCAAATTGGCCATTTATAAAATTGGCCTTTATAAAATTTTCCATGCTTTTTTTAGATTTTCAACTCTCAGACCCCGGCCACCACCTCGAAATCTGCATCAACACGAAAGACAAGTGGGGCGCCGGTGTTCTTTCAAAAGATACAAAAGGCCCGCGACCCCGCGCCCAAATATTGTTGGTGGTGGGGGGCGCTACTTGATCCAGTTCGACGAGACTCTGCCGGGGGAGAGTTGTCGGCAGGCAAACAAGCATCAATACCTTGCCACATACCGTCCCCTTGATTGTGTATAGGGGTACACTTTAGCTGCAGTGGAGAAGGAAAGCCACCTTTCACCGCCCTTTCGCCGGGCAGCCAGCCGTTGCGGTACTTTTACCATGACGGGAAAGTTTTTTTGTACTTACAAAAGGGCTTGTTGGTGGGACCTGCAGGCTTTTGGGGCCGTTTTTGAGTTTTCTATCGTTACCACGGTTCTTTGTCATTATCGGGGACCCAATTTGTTTTTGGAAGTCTATAAATGTCTAGTAACTTAATTGGAGGTATTTTGCTAGTGTTTTTGATGCAATCTAACTATATTTCAACTAGAAAAACGGTTTTAAAACTTTTAAAACATTTTAAAGTCGAATTTTGCCTAAAATTGCTCAATTTTGGACACAACTTCTATATTTTTGCCATTTTTTAATAAGACATTGTAGATTTTTACGGTGTGGTATAATAAAAAATGGGTTAAAAACACCTCCGCTATTTATATTAGAAAAATCGAATCCTAAGAAAAAAAAATGTTGTTCCCCCGATAATGGGAAAGAGCCGTTATCGCACCGGAATCTCGCAGATTCTAGCCCGAAGCTTAAAGTTTGCGGGCGTGTATCGGAGATCCAAAGAATTAATATTTGCCGATGCCTTAATCAACCCTCTCCAGCTGTTACATCTTGAGTCAATACCTGTTCGCCAAATTCTATTCCCCTTTACTCAGCTGTTGGCTTGTCCTCCTTTCGCCCGCCCCCTCTTGCAAACTCAGCGCGATGATAAGCCGTTCGTTGACTCAGCGCCATGTTCCAGGATTTTCATTCGGTAAGCGTCGTGGGAGCACGTGCATTTTTGGGATTTCTTTCAATTTCTAGGTTATTTTCTTGCCTTTTTATTACCAAGAAATTCTACAGGATCCACCGCTCGGTACTGGACGCTTATTAACTTTTCCGGGGAATAACATATATATAATATAACAATCTTTATAACATCAAAATAACATCTATAACAAAATATAAACCATCTTTATAGCATTTTACACAAATTTAGATTTTAGTGTAGAGTTTTCAGATTTTAGCTTAAAGAATTAGATTAGACCAATGAAAGCGTGAACTTTGCATAATCGGCCCGTCCGACGCTGAAAAAAAGTGAAAATGCACTCTCTGCTCCTTTATATAGGCTACCGCAACTTCCGGCGTATGCTAATTGTTTCCTAACAAAGAGGCTGGCCGAATTTTCAACAAAAACTTAATTTTAACGTCGAAAACATATAATTTTTCAAAATTTTATGAGCGTGCAGTCATCCCCAGACCATTACGCTCCTAATGACGTATCAAACATGCCCCTAACTATCCTCCTACTTGAGATACTACTGGAACAACCTGACGGAAGTTGCATGCAAAGTGGCACACACACACACACACAGACACTATTTTTTTATATATAGTAGGATAGCTTTTAGATTATAAACATCCAAATTTTCGATGTAGGTTTTGGGCAAATGTAGGAAAAACGACCAAAACGAGCTTTTAGCAAACAAAAACTAGTAAAAACAGTCTAAAATGCCCTATTCATTATTACCAGATTAATAAAATTGGCTTCCACCCCTGCTAACAGTCGAGTACTCCACCGATCCGTATTCGATCTCGAATACACAACCAAAACGTACAGTCATCGACTTCGAAGCCTCGGCAAACAGGGCAATCACTTTTTTCTCCCAAGGAACTGGGAGCGGTAAATAGAGGAAGTTTACGAAACACGGGTCTGCTTTTTTTGTTTTTTAAAATGGCAATTAGCTAAGTGGGTGAAAAGGCAATAATTTTGCGCCGGTAAAAGTGAGCACGTCGTATAGACGACTAGCTTCGCACTCTGGCATTAATCCAAAAGCCTTGTTTCTTTTGGTGAATTCGGTACTGGACTGTTAGCGAGGCCGAGACTTTTTCCACCGTAATCCGGTATTGCCATCTAGCAAAGAAAAACCATTGTCATGGAATTTTCCACAACTTCTGAATACAAAAATAAAATTGAAAACTTTCGAAAACTTTTGATATATTTGGTAAAAAATGGTTGAAAAACGACCAAAAAGGTCAAAATTTCAAAATTATAAAAATCATAAAATACTGTTGATAACTTTTTAGCAATCAATCAACTACTAAAAACACTATAAAAATAAATTATATAATATCAACAGGTTTGTTATAACCAGAAAATTCAAAAATTAGTTTCCCCTGTTAAAATCCCCCCTACTAACAGACCAGTACCGGAAATTCTCGTAGCGTAGCGTAGTGGGGCATCTAGGATCACACTGTTTCCTTGTACTTTTATTTTTCGTTTCCTATGCGCATATCGTTTTATTCAGCTCTTGAATTCACTCCTATTTCGGCACTACGCTTCAGGTTTATTATGTTTTTGTTTATAGTTCACCTCCTCCCCCTATATTCCAACCCATGATCCAGGGCATTCGCCCGGTGATTCAGCTCGAAAATTGTGTACAAAACGGGCCCCGTTGTCCACCACCACCCAGGCGCTCAATTTCCCCTCGTTTTGCTCGTTTCCCCGGCAATACCCGTTCGTGAATATTCAATTCCCATCAAATTTCAGGCCCATCTTTCGGCAAGAAACACGTTCACCGCACGTCATTTGACTCACGCCCTGCCCAGCGGGAAATATTGTTGGAACTGCGAAAACATGGTCGGTTCTTATTTCCAGGCGAAATAAGGTCATTTCGACAAACTCTAGAGCAACTTTTGGCTTTTCAGAAAGTGGAAAATTCGCGTTTCTATCTGGACGAGACCGAGATGTCGTCGGAGGAGCAGGAAAAGGTAAGGAGAAAGGTTCTTTGGCTGAACTCCAGATACCCCCAGCCGACCCCCACCTACCGGATCTCAGCTCCCTGTTCACGTACAGGTGTGGTAAAGTATACCAAAATACTCGCCGGAGCAACACGAACATTTTGGTATACTTTACACACCTGTAGATGAGCAGGAGCCGTGGGGGGTATCTGGAGTCTTACCGCGTCTTTCGCATTATCGGGGACCGACGCAAAATTTTTTTATTAGCGTAAAAATGCCTGGTAGCGTAATAGGAAGTATTTTATTGGTATTTTTGGTAACATAGACCTATATTTCACCTAGAAAAGCCATCTAAAAACACTAAAAACATGTTAAGTAGACATTTTGGCCAAAAATCGGCCATTTTTGGTCGAAACATCTAAATTTGTATTTTTTTGGGTAAAAATTTGTAAAGTTTTGTATTTAGGAATGGTGGAAAACAGTTTAGAAACACTTCCGGTTTATATTTCAAAAATTGGATCCTAGGCAAAAAGCTGGTTCCCCGGAAAATGCGAAAGAAATTAGATCGAACAATTTTTATGCGCATTCAGGGTCCGATGAAGCATTTCCGGAGGCTCTCCGATTTTCTGCACAACTACAATAAAGCCGAGTGTGCGTCTTGCGCCAAGGTTCGAGCAGTTTTGAGTTTTCTAGCTTTGATTTTCCAGGTGCAGCTCGAAAACGAGCGGCTGGAGACGGTGCTGCAAATGAAGATGGCCGAGTATCATTTGATGGAAAAGGCGATGAATCGAGTAAGTTCGCGGGGGTTCGGACTTTTAATCACGGAATTTACAGGTAAAGGAAGCTTATGTCGAGGCGTGCTTGGAAATTTCTGAACTGTGAGTTAATGGCAACGGTTCTTGTGCATTACTGGGGAAGAACCGAATTTTTTTTTGTAAATTGAGAAACGTATAGCAAGTAATAACAATAGTAAGTGTTTTAATAATGTTTTTAGGAACATTTAACGATATTTCAAGTGGAAAAACTATCTCAATGGCATTTAAAAATTGCTAATTGAAGATTTTGATCGAAAAACTAAGATTTTTCGTATTTTTGATAAAAAATCGTAATTTTTCTGGCGTTTAGGGATTGTTAAAAACAGTGAAAAGGTATAACAAAAAGAAGAAAGACGATAATTTCAGAAAACAACAATTGGAGGCAATGAAGAAACAGCAAGATGACTGCGAGTCTTCGAACTCTACCCTGAGCAAATCTTATTCGGAGTCATCTCTTTGAAACTAAAGGCTATGCAGTGCTCCTTTGATCTCATGTGCATTGTAAATAAATTGTATTATATAAAATCATGTTTCAAAATACAAAAACTAGAAGCGTATTTTTTATTTATTAGCTTGAATTAGCTCTTCTCGCCGTCCAGCTGGGCCTTTGTGATTCGGACGCGTCCAAAATCCCCGCCATAAATGTCGCCCCGCTGCTTGACCATTTGCTGAAAAATATGGATTGTAATTCGGGATATCTACCTACCACGAATAATTTTCGCGTTTTATAGCGTTTGTCGTTCTTCATTATTAAAAATCGATAAAATATCGAATTTTTTGAACATTCTCATGCATCTTTGGCCGGAAAAAGGCATTTTAATGCATTTCTCCGGAAATTGTGATATTTTTTATTAACCATCTGGACAAAAAAACCACGTAAAAAAGCTATCCAACTGATATGCCAAATTTCCCACGGGGCGATAGGTTAAATCCCCCCGCTAACACGCCAGAACCCCCTTTACTGACCTGTATTGATCGAACGGTCAAGTTGTTCATCGTGTCCTCGGCCATTTGCTCGTCCTGATTTGTTGAGTTGAATAACTTGTAAAAAAAGTGAAAATACCTGTTGACTCTGTGTTAGTGGCGGCGGCCCGGGCGAGGAGGCTTTTGGGGAGCTCACTTCCGGCGTTCGGGCCGACTGGTCTGTTTTGGGTGCGGGATCTTTCTAGAATCTAGCTTTGCTAGATGCGAAAAAATTCTACAGTATTCCTAAGCCTGGACAGGTTACAAAATTTATTAAAAAAACAGAAAAAAGCCGATATTTTGACGAAAAATGCGGATTTTTAGCTAGGTTTCAAATTTTTATAGTTTTCTAACTTTTCTAGATAGTTTTCCACTAGAAAATAGCCACATTTGTTCAAAAAAACACCATTGTCACTCTCACTCTTGCATCACGGAAAAAACTACATTTCCCATACCCCCCCGATATTGCCAAAGTCCCAGCAAAGAGGTACCTCAAATACAACCCACCGTGCACCAAAACCTAAAGCATGCTGACAAGAAATCCCATAGCGTAATCGTAGGTGAATTTGCGTAGTATTAGCTGACCGCATCGGCTGTTGTGACGGGCCGTGCGGGCAGAGTACAGTCGCGTAGTTCTCTATTTCGGTCGGCCATCGACCGCGCGAGGTCACACCTGTTTCTCACTCGCTCTCTCACTTTTATAATCTCCTCTCTATCGTTTATCGCTTCTCGCCAAGGCCGTGAGAGCTCAACATTTTTTGCGCGTCATTCAAGAGAACTGGTTATGGGAATTGATCGATTTATACAGGGAGGTAATAGGGTAAAAGCACGTATTTTTTGGCTAACAGGCGAAATTGGCTGTTTTGCTTGTTTGTTCGTGGCGGGGCTGAGTCAGCTTGGCCTTTGTCACCTGACGGTCGACCAAAGCGTCCACAGTAATGGTCGGGCCCGAAACGAACGGGCGGCTGCAAATTTTGGGTTGAATTTGAGGAATAATTAAGAGAACGGGAAGTTTAACTTTTAACGAGGTGTCAAACCACAAATTTTTAGTGGGGAGCAAAGAAATTTTTCAGGGTTATTCGTAAGAGAGAGAGAGAGAGAGAGAGAGAGAGAGAGAGGGGGGGAGGGGGAGGGAGGGGGAGAGAGCTATTGAGAGAGTGAGAGCAGCTATTGAGAGAGTGAGAGAGTGAGGGTGAGAGAAAGTGTGAGAGCGTGAGAGAGAGTCAGAGAGACGTGAGAGCAAGAGCGAGTGAGAGAGTCATCGAGAGAGAGGAGCTAGTGAGTGAGATTGTGAAAGTGAGAGAGAGAAGGATGGAGCGTGAGAGAGAGAGAGTGAGAGAGCGTGAGAGAGTGAGAGAGAGGAGCTATTGAGAGGGAGAGAGTGAGGAGAGAGCGTGAGAGAGTGAGAGAGTGTAGGGTGAGTGCGAGCTAAAGGGTGAGGCATATACAGGTGTCCCAAAAAAAAGACCCCCCAAAAATTTGAGCCAGAGGGCACCTACGGAGCTGAAAATTTGCGCAGAGGTAGGCGAAGGTAATTTTCTATGAACAAGGAAAGCTCAGCCCAATCGGCCAGCGGGTTTTAAGGTTATATCGAAAATACTTTTCATTTTTAATTTAATATGGGGTTCTTTTGCAATTTGCATCAAAGATATGCGTTATTCTTGCATTTATAGCCGATTTTTGCATAAATTTCGCTGAAAAGTGCCATTTTCTTGATGGAGCTATTGGAAAACGATTGATCATGTAGCGAGGAAATGATCAGCAAGGACGATGAATTCCAGACCTCATGGCGGAAACTATCGTTGAACGCTTGAGCTTGGCTTAAACTTCAGCGTACGCGCCAACAAAAGCCCAAATCTAAACTTCGACACTGTTTTCGAGATTGTCGAACTCTGTTTTCGGGCCGACGAAGCTCAAATTGCCAAAATGTACAATAAGACGGGATTTGGATCGATAAAACAGTTGTTTTAACACTCTTTTTATTCTTCATACGCAATCGTTTTCCAAAAAGCTCCTCAACAAAAATGGCACTTTTCAGCGAAATTTATGCAAAATCGGCTTGTAAATGCCAGAATAACGCATATCTTTGATGAAATTGCAAAGATCCCCATATTAAATTAAATGAAAAGTATTTTCCTATAACTTTAAACCCGCTGGCCGATCGGGCTGAAACTTTCCTTGTTCATAGAAAATTACCTTCGCTACCTCTGCGCAAATTTTCAGCTCCGTAGGTGTCCTCTGGCTCAATTTTTGGGGGTCTTTTTTGGGTCACCTTTATATGGCAACACCCCAGACCATAATAATTTGCCTGCTATCGGAAAACTAATTATTTTTTCGGGGTTTTGGGCGTTTCCCATACAAGAACTTGTGTTTCTTTATGCAGGAGACAAATGAAAACGGTTGCAAATTTTTTAATTTTTGATTTATAGTAGCGGGAAGTTTAGCGATTTCGTCGAAAAAGCGGTGTGTTGGCACGCTGCGCATAGAACCCCGGATATTGATAGCTCTGCTCGAGGGTTTGGTATTTAAGTTTACTTCGATCTTATTTATTTTTACCAAAAGTCTTCGAGGGAATTTTTGCTATATTCAAAAATGCGCGCTTACCCACCCTCACCACGCTTCTGTGGCCAATAAAAATTAATTATCAAATGCCTGCCAATTGCATTGTCTTATTTAAGCATTTTTTTTTACGTTTCGGGCATGTGATTGAACCAATTCCGTTTGCTGAAACCAAGCAATTCAACGGTTAAAGATAAAAAAGGCAATTTTACTTTTTTTACTATGATTTTTGGGACCAGCCAAGAGCGATTCTAAAATTTCTGCCTACTTAAAGGAAGTTAATTGTTTTAAATACCTTTATCTGTCAATACTAGGTAGTATACATATTTTTAGGGGTCATTCGTGCCCAAAACGACGTTTCTGAACCATGCTGAAATTGGCTTCCAAGGGTTGCGTGCCAGCACCATCCTTACGACAATCTGGGTTAAGCTTCAGAACAAAAGTTTTTAGGGTTGCTGCGTTCTAATATTTTTAAGAGTGGTTACAGGACACTGGTGGCTATATTTCAGCAAATTATTGAAGCCCAACCAGCTTTCTTCATTTTTTGAGAGAGCTGGGAAAGTGTTGCTATATATATATGCCTCACCCTGTAGAGAGATAGAGTCAGAGAGAGGGAGCGAGGAAGAGCAGAACGAGTTAGAGAGAGCGAGAGAGCTAGGGGAAAAGCGAGAGAGAGAGAGAGCTATTGAGACAGAGCGAGTGTAAAAGCCATCGAGATAGAGATAGAGACAGAGTCAGAGAGAGAGCGGGGTGAGAGCGCGAGCGAGTGAGAGAGAGAGCTATTGAGAGAGCGTGAGCGAGAGAAGGAGAGGCTATTGAGAGCTATAAAATGTACAAAATGTTGATAATATTTTTCTCCCTACCAACCTGGAAGCAGGAAAACTCAAATTTTCGGACAAATTAACAAACCCTTGTGCTGATGGGCGGCGGCGGGCTTGATCTTGGGCTCAGGGAAATTTTTCTCAGTTTTACCGGGTGGTGTCGGATCCTTCTAAAAGCCTTCTTCGAACCTGCATTTTGCAATAGCTATTAGGCTAATCGGAAAGTAGCAAGAACTTTTTCGCAATTTTCCATAGATATTCTCGAAGTCAATCCAAAGCCTAATAGTGGCTTAACTATTTTATGTGTAACCTCCTTGTACCCTATTTACGAATGCAATGAAACGGGATACTACCTCTTACAAAATAGATATGATTGATTTTGAAGCGAAATTTGCGTAAAAATCCATGTCTACGCGTTCACAGTACCGAATACG